GTTGGAAGGGACCTTGAAGACCACCCAGTGCCACCCCCTGCCCTGGGCAGGGCCACCTCCCCCCAGCCCAGGTTGCTCCAAGCCCCGTCCAACCTGGCCTTGAACACCTCCAGGGATGGGGCAGCCACAGCTTCTCGGGGCAACCTGCCCCAGGGGATCACCACCCGCACAGCAAAGAATTTCTTCCTAATGTCTAATCTGAGTTTCCCCTCTTTCAGTGTAAAACCATTCCCCCTCGTCCCACGGCTCCCCTCCCTGATCCAGAGTCCCTCCCCAGCTCTCCTGGAGCCCCTTTAGGCACTGGAAGGGGCTCTGAGGTCTCCCCTTTTTCGCCTTCTCTTCTCCAGGCTGAACCCCCCCAACTCTCCCAGCCTGTCCTCCCAGCAGAGGGGCTCCAGCCCTCCCAGCAGCTCCGGGGCCTCCTCTGGCCCCGCTCCAACAGCTCCGTGTCCTCCTTGGTCAGATCTCTGTCAGTCCAGTAGTGCTTAGACTAATCACCATAACCCTGGGGAGTTCAACAGATAAAGCGAGCGTTTAGTTGTCCTGAGCCTGAAAATAAAGTGTCACCTGAAAATGCGTTAAAAAAATCAGGAAAAAAAAAATGGCGTTCAGCAAGCTGCTATTTGGCCCTGACAATTTTTAGCCCTTGTATTCTGAGAATAACAGTGAAAACGAAGCCCATGTTATGACGTTTTGATACTTTATTAGTTGTCTATATTTCTTTATAAATACCTGCAATATCAGAAATGTCACCGCTATACTGAAGTAGTAAGTTATTAAAACACATTCTGAAAACACCGTACAGACCAAAATGGCATCTCCTATTAGCTTGACTCCCAGGAGCACTTTTTTTTTTTTATCTACCTTTAAGTACTGATATTTGTGGAATAATACTTTGTTGACATAACATAAGAGGCAAACTCCTTTTTTTGCTTACAGTTTTCCCTCGGGTGCCTCCCATCGCTGAAGACACTCTGTTACTTGCTGCCAACCTAGTTGATACCTTATTTCCCATTATTCTGCAGGAGCAGGAGCCGTCTGCGGGCAGGGCAACGTCACTCAGCGTTTCCCAGCATCAGTCCCTGCTTCACAGGCTCTGGCTGTGCTGAGCACTCTGGCCTGGTCCTGCAAGGCGTTTAGATAAGTATTTCATGTCAAAGGATATAAAATAGTCTTTTAAGACCCGGGTTAGTAAACAACATGATTAAAGTTGGAGTTCTGGCCCCACTGGAGTACGCGGGGACACATCACGGACTCTGAACGACAGAGCGCGTCACCCTAAGCGTAGGATAAAGACCGGAGTTCAGCACACCACAAGGTTCAGCCCTCTATATTAAAAACAGAGAGGAAACAACTGCCCCTCCTGCAAAACACAAAGAAAAAGAAATAATTTTCCCCTTGCCGAAGCTTTCTGCCAGGTTATCAGCGTTTGCTTTCTCCAAAGCGATACCTTGCTGTGCATCTGTTTCCCCTTTGAAGGTATGACTGTTAGTTTAAAAAAACCCAGAAAACCCCAGAAAAGAAGCGTATTTCTGGTTGAGTCCTAAGATTTTTCCAATTAAAAAACCCTCTTGAACATCCAGTCTCTCCTCTGTATTCAGCTTTACAAGCACTCTAAACGTAAATGAGCTTCGTACAGTATGGATCAGCCCTTACACGTAGTCTTTACGATTTCTGCTTGTGCTGTAAATAAATATGAAAGTTGTCGTGTTGCATTTGCCTTCCTGCCGCTCTGATGACGGCTCTGACCTGCCGGCCCGCACTCTGCGTCGAGCCGGGTGGCTGTAATGGCAGCTTTCAGCTTCAGCAACATTTTAATTTATGTTTGCAGCTGCGTTGTTATGTCCCCATCCTGGAAAAATGAACCTCCTGTACGAATTTTGTTCTTCTCCAGTGGAGATTTTTTTTTGCCCTAACACATCGTTATTATACGTGGATGGCCCAAACTGCGAGGGGTGCGGGTCACGGCCATTGCCTCGGGTTAGCAAACCTCGTGCTGGATCACGTCAGCTGGGGCTGCGGAGCAGCTGCCCGGCTTTCTGTAATCCCCCACGTGTAATATGGCTTTTCCTGTCTGATTACTTGTTCTGTACTTAAATCTGCAAATGCTTCTCCTGTGGCTTGGTAAATAACTGCCTAAAAAAAAATTCTTTTCAAGAAGTTTGTCAACTGATTTCATTAGTCTTAAAAAAACAAACTATATATAAACTCATTGTCCTCACTCAGGAAATGACAGCACCGTTACATGTTACAAAGTCTACAACGCGCTGTAGGAAGAGTTGCATTGTTCTTTGTTAAAACTCGTCGTGTAAATCGTAACCTGGAATGCCAACGCAGAGGCCAGACGAGCCGGCATTCCCGGTTCGTGGCAATCCTACCGCCATCACGTATCCACAGCAAGACTCAACGTGGGAACAAATGAAACTGGAGTGGAACCAAAGCACAAATCAAGCAGAGGTCATCTACCGTCTAGAGAGAATAAAAGAACCACTGGCAAACACTTTTTCTCCGGATGGGATCAAACAGCTGGGTTCAAAGGCTCCTACAAACCTTGTCTAATACAGCAGTAAACCCACAGCAGGGTCTCGTAGCAGAGACTGTCGATGCAACGTCGATGGTCAGCGATAATCCAGACGCACCCTCTCCCCTACGCAAATAAACCCTTCGGGACTATTTACAGGGACTTACAAAACTCTGTCATAAAGACAATTTACTGCCTTTGCAGGGAAGAAATCGTTTCTCTGCTGTTTGCTCCTCATTTTTAAGCCACTTGGGATCTTTTCATGCCACAGTGGCCAAAACTGTTAATTTGTCGGAAGACCGAGTCACCAGCCTTGTTTCCTCAGTCGGGTCCGTACAGACACACACTCACAGCGACCAGGTACGACTGCACTGGCAACGGGACACTAAATAAGGATGCTCCACACGACAGACCACGGGCTCCTGACGCACACCTACACTCGGGGCGCTCCCGTGCCCCCCGGCTTCCCCCGCCTCTCCCGTTGCCAGCGTTCAAGGGTCAGTGGGGTATTGCTTGTCGAAGCCACGGCGATCCGGCAGCGGCGCCGAGCGCGTTAGCTCTTGCAGCCGGCGCCATTCACGGGAACCTTGGACACAGCGGGACAGTCGCTCCGGAAAGCATCGAGGTCCTCGGTGGTGGTGGCTTCAGGGACGGTGGTCCCTGTCCCCTGGGGCAGGCAGGCGTCCCGGGGCCCCCCCTGGCTGCGCCCGCTGCGGGAGCAGTCGTGGTGCCCGTGGTTGCCCAAGCGGCTGGAAGCCACCACGGCTTTCATGGCAGCCTGTTGCAAAGGCACAGAAAATAAAATTGTAACAATAAAAGCCATTTAGTAGTCCCCATGCATACATTTCAGCTGAAGTTAACTGTTCCCGGCCCCCGGCTGCCCCCCCCGGCCCCCCAGCTGCTGCTCCCCGGAGGACGCGGCTGCGCAAGGAGCCGCTCCATCGTCCTTCACCCCCCTCCCCAAGCCAGCCCCCCGAGCTGCCACGTGTCGCTGAACGTTCATCTGCTCGGGGCAGGGGATCCTTAAAACCCAGTGACAGCAGCTCTCGGTGGCCCCAGCTATTTGCAGGAGGGGACACGAACACGAGCCACCCCCGGGGGTTAACGGGGCTTTTTCACCTTACCTTCAGTTTCCGCCTGGCGTTAAATTCCTGCATTTTCTTCTGCGTGCTGTCCATGTGAGCAAATTTCGCGGCTTTCCCGGTGACCCAGGGATGCTCCAGAGCCTGGTAGACGGTCAGTCTCTTCTGGGGGTCCAGGACGATCAATTTTCTGACCTGTAACCAACAAAAAGGCTTCATTTGTCAAATGTTTTGTTATTTCACAAGCGTTGATCTGAAACCCTCGTACTTGGCAGCCCCAAACCCCGGCATCAGCTCACTCACCAAGTCCTTGGCGTTGAGGGAAACCTCATCCCACCACGGGGACACGAACTCGTAGTCGCAGGTGAGGATGCGGCTGTACATGTACTGGTCCCCTCGCGGGTCGAAGAAGGGCTCGAAGCCACAGAGCCTGTGAGAGTGGGAGAGAGGAGCTACATGCCACCACCCAGCTCCTGTGGCGTCGCCGTGCCGGCGTTTGCCAGCTGCTCACGGCAGGCTGAGGTGGAGCAATCCATCTCACCGCCGCGGTTTCACCGCCCGTGGGGCTCCGGCAGCGTTACTCACAGGATGTAGGTGATGACGCCCACGGACCACATATCCACTTCAGGGCCATACGGGCACCCGTGGAGGATTTCGGGGGCTGGAAACAGAGTTTGGGGTTCAAATGCATGGGTGTGGGCAGCTCCCGGCAGCGCGGCAGAGGAAACACCCCCCGGGGCACTGGCAGCATCTCCTGAGCCCAGCCCAGCCATTGGCCATCGCTGCACCGAGCTGTGCGTGGCCTCTGGCAGGGAGCAGCCTCCCCGGGTCTCCCTCCCGCCCCCCAGCTCTTCCCTCCCGCTCACCGCAGTACCCCGGCGTCCCGCAGACGGTTTTCATGGTGTCCTGTTCATCCACGATCTTGGAGAGCCCGAAGTCACCTTGGAGGGATGCAGAGGAGAGCATCAGAAGCCGTCAGGAAGAGGCACCATTAACCCCTCTCATGCCATGAACCCCTCGGGGGGGGGGCCCCCGGCAAACCCACCGATTTTAAGGGGAGCGTCGGGGGACAGGTCTGCGTAGAGCAGGTTCTCCGGCTTCAGGTCACGGTGGACAACTCCATTTTCATGCAAATACTACAGAGAGAGAAAGCGGGGATGCGGGAAGGAAGGGAAGGGCAGGGAAGCCCCATCTGCCTCGGGCAGAATTCGGGAGGAGACAACAGCAGTCCAGGACCCGGCACAAACATGGAACCAAATCGCCCAACTATTCCTTTGCAAACACCCAACGCCTGCGGTGCCGGAGCTGCCGGCATGGCCGCGGGGGGAACAGGAAAGATGTTTTCCTTTACGAGTTTCCATTTTTAAAATCCTCCCGTTGCCATGGAAACCCCATCTCCAGCCAACCTGTGATGCAGAGCAGCGCTGACCTTCCTCCCACCTCTCCTTCATCCCCCAGCGGGATTTGGGATGGTGCAGGTCCCGATGCCTCTCCCCGGGGGTATCTGGGAGGGTGCAGCCCCCACAACACCCCCCCTGTACCCCACACGGGACCCCTCACCGGGCTATTCCCTGGGGCTGTGGGGGGACGCGCCGGGGGCACATTACCGAAACGGCTTCCAGGATCTGCTTGACGACGTGGGCTGCGTCCCGCTCGCTGTAGAAACCCCTCTCCACGATCCTGCGGGCACACGGGGTCAGCACAGCAGCACCCTGCCCCGCACAGACCCCCCCTTGCCCCCCGGCCCCCCAACCGTGGTGTGCATCAGCCCCCTCCATCCTCATCCTCCCCCCGCCATTGAGGTGAGATTTTTGCCCCTCGTTAGGAGGCGGGATGGGGATCGTGGGGCCGGGCGTACCTGTCGAAGAGCTCTCCTCCCGTCACCAGCTCCAGGACGAGCACGATCTCGGAGGGCGTCTCGAAGATCTCCTTCAGCTTGATCTGGAAGGGGCGACAGGAGGGATGCGGGATGTGGGATGCGGATGCGGAGGCCGGCTGTGCTGGGAGGACCACGCGACTGCCGGACCGCAGGGTACCGTGAGGGGTTTCTTGGGGCAGCGGCACATTTCCCTCCGTGCCTTTTTATTTGTTCGAACGGGGATTTTTTTTGACTCTTTGGAACAGCCCTGCTCACTTAATTGTGCATTGAAGACGATGCTGGGAATGGAAAGATGGACACGCACTGCCTTTATCCTCTTCACGTCTCCAAGCTCGTTAGCTGGAAGAGGAGCTCACCGAAAGCTTTTTAATTTTGTAACTTCGTCGGCTGTGCTGGAACCTTGGGTGCGAGCGACCCCCAGCAAAGCCCTTATCCCTCCTGGGTCGGATCCTGCGCATCTGCGCTGGCAGGGATGCAGGAGAGACGCACGGAGCCCCGAGGGGCCAAAGCCACCTCTGGGACCGGGGCCCCGCGCCCCCGCGGGTGCTTTTGGAAACATCCCTCGGACCACTTTGCAGCAGAAGAGGCGCTAAAGAAACGGCGTTTTTCTCCTGATTTTTGTTTTATAGCTCCCACGCAAGGTGAGCCTGTCTGCACAAGACCTTTCTGCCACTGCAGCAAATCTGGAATTAACAGGTCTCTCTTAAGAATACGTCAAAATGCATTTTTTTTTTTTTTAATGGAAAACAGAGAATTTCATGCTTCTTAAGACTTTTGTGACACTGCGAATTTCATGGGGCTTTAATCATTACCTTCATAGGCTGGGTGACAAGCCGTGATACCCCGCAGGGTGAGAGACACTATGTGGCGGCTTATTGCATTATAATAATACACGGAAGCACTATAATTTTCCTATTAACTTCAAAAGTTTACAATCCTATTATCGTCCGCTGTTGAGGTTGGTGCTGAACGATAGTGAGCGCATAGACAGCAGCAGCGTAAATAATGAAACAGAGCATCTCTTCTTCGAAAAATCACTTGAACTTGGGAGTGAGCCGAACCCTACGGAAAACTCGGTGATTTAAATATTAAAACTGTCCGGCTGGTTCTTCCTCCGCATCTCCGTGGTGCCGCTGGCTGGAGAGTAAAGGGGGAGGGAGGGCAGAAATTGAATTTTCTGTGGCGTTTCTGATAACACATCAGAGAGGAGCCTCTCCCCATCCGTGGCTGAGATCAGCCGAGCATCCTCCCGGGCTGCTCCGTGCTGGGGATCCCCATCCCGCTGTTGTCCCTGTGCCTGCCCAAACATCCTGGGATTGGGGAGGCATCTCTGTGGAAAAGGCTGAAGCACCCGATTGCCCCCAAGCGCTGAAACACCCCAGTGCCCAAGGCAGGCCCGTTCCTAGCTGGCCGAGGGGCTTAGGGACCCCCCAGCTCCAGCCCGTTTGCCCCCATCCTCATTTTTGGACTTCCTTTGGCTTCATCTCTTGCGTCAGGGCTTTGGAAGCGGCGGGCGCGCAGGACATCCCCGCGGGGGCTCCTCCGGACAGCGAAGCCGCATTGCTCCGAGGACCGTCGATGCAGGCTGGGCTGGAAGCAGCCGTGCATGGGGGTTTGAGCCACACTGCCAAAAAACGGCTGTTCGGGCGGCAGCAGCCATCAGTGAGGCGATGTCCTGGTGATGTCCCAGCAATGTCCCGGTGATGTCCCGGCAATATCCCAGCAATGTCCCGGCCACAAAATCAATTGGAGCGGGGTCTGTCGCACCCCCACAGAGCCAGTGCCCCGCGCCGCTGCGGCGGCAGCAGCTGCCAGGTGGCTTTTTGTGTTATTTCTTGAAGTCAGGTAGTCCCCAAGATGCTTTTTGCAATTTGCCGGTGGAACTAAGCAGCCAGAAATAAGCATTTTTGGCAGCTGGAGGGATGGGGGGGAGGGGGGGAGGACGCGGAGCCCCCG